TTCAGCAGCTGTCATCCCACTTACCTACTTCACAACATTAGCCATCTTATACAGGGTGGCATGAAATTCTTGCTGCAGTTTTGAATTGAATCCTATTAAGTAACTATCAAAACTTGCATAAGATGAATTATAGCTAAAACAGCTGCTGAAGTTTAAAGCTGCATTAAGAATTTTGGGATATGCTCTTTGAAGGACAGAGTACTGGATCAAGCCATTTGGGCCTGAGTCTTGGCTTTGCTGTTCATTCTCTGGGTGAGCTTGGACTTCCGTCCCTTTCCCTCTAAGGCCTTTCATTTTCTCATCTCTAAAACAAGAAGTAGAATGAAATGATGATGATAACAACTCACATTTCCATGGTACCTTAAGGTTTACAAACTACTTTCCTCATAACAACCTGTGAGATATGTAGGAAAGGTATTGTCAGCTTTTATAGATGAGGAAGTTGAGATTCTGGGAGGTTAAATGGTTTGTCTGAGGCTACATAGCTAGTGACTCCAAATTCCACTCATATTGTTGTTGTTGTTGTTGTTCCGTCATTATTTAGTCATGTCTGACTCTTCATGACCTAATCTGGGGTTTTCTTAGCAAAGGTGCTGGAGTGGTTTTCCATTTTCTTCTCCAGTTTATTTTATAGATGAAAAAACTGAGGCAAACAAGGTTAAATGAGTTGCCCAGGGTCACACAGCTAGGAAGTATCTGAGGCCAGATTTGAACTCAGGAAGATGAGTCTTCCTTGCATCCAGGCCCGATGCTCTATCCACTGTGCTACTTAGCTGACCTTTCCATACTTTTACACTATATTCTCTTCTAGTTCTAACATTATATAATCCTAATCATACAGTTTGGGGATACTAGCTCACTTTCTGCCCTCCTTTCCTTCTTTTTTTCCCTCTCCTCTTTTCTTTTATTTCACTTCCTATCCCATTCACAAAGCTCATAGTGAATGGTTGGATGTGGCATAGAAATGAAAAGTAGAACAAGAAGAATTTAAGGAAATATATATGGGGGGGAGGTGGGGGTTAAGGTAATCAGTTACTAGATATCTGTGTGGTTTGCTTTAATCAGATAATCAGAATACCTATCTGAAATCCCTAACCCTGAGGAAATGAGAATGTGGAGTGGGAGAGGGTCTTAGACAAGGAAGGAATAGTTTTGGAGCATGGGACACTTTGTGGAAGGGCAGGCCTGAGTGGACCATCAAAATGTCAGACATTGAATAGTTAGAAGGAAAATGACAATATTACATAAATTAATTTAGAAATTTCAATGCTGAATCAATCAAACTCTCAAAGGGTTACTTTGTAGAAGTAGACAAAGTAATAAAATTTATTTGGAAGAATAAAAGGTCAAGAATCTTAAAGGAATAATGAAAATTTCTCTGTTATTCAAGTCTGTTATGCAAGATATATAGGGAACTGATGTAAATATATGAGAACAAGAGCCATTCAAATGGTCAAAGGATATAAACAGGAAATTTTCAAAAGAGGAAATCCAAACCATAAAAGCCATATGAAGTAAGATGCCAGATTACTAATATAAGAAATGAACATTAAAACAACACTGAGGTTCTACCTTATGCCCATCATTGGCAAAGATGACAAAAAAGGGAAAATGCAAAATGTTAGAGGAGCTATGGGAACACTGGGACACTAATGGACTGTTGGTGGAACTATGAATTGGTTCAACTATTCTAGAAGGTCATTTGGAACTATGCCCCCAAACTCCATAAACTGTGCATATGCGGAATTTGACCAGTTTGACCCTTTTACCCAGTGATACTACTGTTGGCATATACCACAAAGAGGTCAAAGACAAAAGGGAAAGGATTCAAATGTACAAAAAAGTATTTATAGCAGCACTTTTTGTTTTAGGAAGAACTGGAAATGAAATAGGTGCCCATTAATTAGAGAATAGCTTAACAAATCTATAATGCATTATTGCATTATTAGAAATTACAAAATGGAGGAATTCAGAGAAACCTGAGAAGACATATATAAATTGAAACAGAAGAAGTGGGTATAACCAGTAGCATAACCAATTTATACAATGACTACAATATTGTAAAGGAAACTAACTTTTAAAAATATATCTTTTATTTATTTCAGTAACTATTTCCAAATTACACTAAAATTTTTTTAACATTCATTTTTTTAAAATTTGAGTTACAAATTCTCTCCCTTCCTCTTGCCCTCTCACCCCTTGAGAAGGCAAGCAATATGATATTGATTATCCATGGGATGTCTAACAATACATATTTCCGTATTAGCCATGTTGCAGAAGAAAACACATACAAACAAGAAAAAATTTTAAAAGTGAAAAAGGTATGTTTCCATCTCCACTCTGAGTCCATCAGTTCTCTATCTGGAGGTGGATAACATTTTTCATCATGAGTCCTTTGGAATTGTCTTGGATTCGTGTCTTGATCACAGTAGCTAAGTCTTTCACAGCTCTAATGCTGCGTACAATGTACCCACTTCACTTTACGTTAGTTCATGTGAGACTTCCCAGGTTTTTTTGTAACCATCCTCACCAATTCTTATAGCACAATAGTATTCCATCACCGTCATATACCACAACTTGTTCAGTCATTCCCCAATTAAATGGCATCCCCTCAATAGGAAACTAAGTGAAAGATGTGACAACTCAGATCAATTCAGTATCTAGTTGTGACTCCAGAACACTAAATGATGAAGCATGCTCTCCACTTTTCTGCTTCTTGGCAGGGAGGTGGCACAAAATGAGATGTCTTTTTAGATATGACCAATGTCTAAATTTGCTTAGCTTGATGATACTTACTTGCTACAAGGAAAGGCTTTTATTTTAGTGTAACATGCTATTAAAATAATTAACTCTTTTTAAGCCTAGGGGCATTAGAATGTCCCTTTAGATCCACATGCTGCTTTAAACAAATTTATATTGAACAAAAAAATTAGGCATACCGTCACAATCTCTCCAAGTTCCCAGTTAGGAAAATTTCTAACATTCTGGCAAAGGTTTGACTCTCCACCTTAATTTACGTTTTATCTTGATTTCTAGTCAACCTTTGGCGGCCTCTTTGTGGTTGAGGTGAAATTGCAGTTACTGGAAATGTTTAGGTAAAAAAAGCAGTAGAGTGTTATATCATAGTGTCTGTTGATAGACAGGTACTGAAAAGAGAAGTTAGGCAAAAAGTAGACCTTTTCTGGGAACTTCCCTAAGTCTTTGATGGGTTGGATACAACCAAGTGTTTCAGTTTGCCTGTAGGGCTGATGGCCCTCCTCACTTTCTCTCTCTTCCTCCTCACGGGATAGTCCCATTTTCTCTGTTTTTTCCTAGTCACTACTGGATATCCTCACTTCTTTTTTTCCACAGCCAGACCTCCAAATCCCTCTCAACTCTGAATCTTCAATTTCTGATTTTTCACTGGTCTGCTATTTTATGCAAGACCCACAGATGTGACTAAGATTTCTTCGTCAATCTGAACATTCTTCCTGTCAGTGTCACTCTGGTTCATTCAAGGACTTTTCATACTTAATCCAAAATCCTTGATTAATGGGTTGAGACTTAGTCTAAAGGGCATGGGCCAACTTGATTACTTTTTCATCTATTCTACATCTCATATGTACCTCGTTTTTTAATATGTTGTCTCCACTATTAGAATGTGATCTTGAGAGCAAGGACTGTGTTTTCTGCCTTTCTTTGTATCCCCAGCTCTTAGAACAGTGTCCAGCACATAGGTGCTTAATAAATGGTTGTTGATGGACTGATTGATATCTATGAATTTAAGAGAAGCCTAGACGCAGACCTTCCCTTCATATTGGGCACATTCTCCGTGAAGATTTATGGGGGGAGATGGACAAGAGAAATGTAGGATGATAAAAACCATTGATATTTATATAAATAATTGCTTTAAAGTTTACAAAATGCTTTACAGGCCTTATCTCATTAGAGCCTTACAACAACTGTGGGAGCTTTTGCTACAGGTATTATTAATTCCATTTTGCAGATCACATTTTGCAGAAACTAAAGCTCAGAGTGGTTAAATGATTTGTGCATGGTTATATAACTAATGTTAGAGGCAAGCTTCAGGCTCAAGGCTTCTTGACTCCCAGGCCAGCAATCTGCCCACAGTGGTTTCCAATTGTTTTTGTTCCTTCAATCCCTTTCAACAACAACAACAACAATAAAACTGTGTTGTGAACCCCCAGGATAATTTAATATACCACTCTTTACAGATTTTTAGATTTATTCATTGTGTTTATAAAACTACATTGTAACTTTTGCCCTCTCCTGAAAGCTCCAGATTAAAATGTATATGCTATAATTATGAATTATAACATTTTGTTCTACCTGTTATTATGAAAACCCATCATGTTTCAGACATGCATGTGCCTGTTGTCAGAGAAGAAAAATTTATTTGTAATATAATTGGGCAATCATCTATCATTTATTTATATATTTATTTTTATTTATGTTTATAATTATTTATTGCTTAATTTATTGCAGAATAATGTATATATAAGCACTTGGATCAACACAACTCAAACCCCACAAGGGGGTCTGTGAACCACTAAACGGGTACCACTGCACTGTGCTGTGGTGTAACCCAATTAGTCAGTCAATAAACATTTATTAATCAATTTACCTCAAGGATAAAAAGGCACATAGAAGCAGTGACCTACGTGGGTGAGGAGAGCACTCTCATTGTTGCCATCACAGATCTGTTGGATGATACCTGGCCTTGTATTGCAATTGTCTCATGTGTATAAGCCCACTCATCAACTCGATTGTGAGTTATTCATGGACAGAGACTAGCTTTTCTATTTTGGTGTCTCCACCTTCCCCAGACTTAGCACATTTTGGGGCACGTGGCAGGCGCTCAGTAAATACTTGCTGATTAAACAGTGGTGGGATCTATCTTCTACATTTCTTTGTATCCCCAGTGCTTAGCACGGTGCCTGGTACATAGCAGGAGCTTAATAAATGCTTATTGGCTGACTATCATTTGCTTTTGGTTACAGGTACTAAACCAAAGAGATGTGGGTCCAAGAATATCCTGGTCATCCTTGGATTCTTATTTTCCTTGGCTGTGATTGCTTTAATCACAGTGGCCTTAACCCAGAACAAGCCACTGCCAGAAAATGTTAAGGTGAGTCAAAGAATTTATAACAATTTGGAGGGTAAATTAGCCTGCCCTGACCATTCCAATTCTCTTTGTGTCCCCACCAAACCTCTTACAGTCAGAGGTATACTGGTAAATGTTTAACAACCGGCTGCAGAACGCACTTTTAAGCTTAATCTACATTACTTGCATCTTCCCCATCACTTTCTTAAGCCTAGAGACAACCAACGCAACAATGAATCAAGCTCTGATTTGTGGCATTTGCTGATTTCTGAGGTGTTGATGCTCACATTGAAAGTTCAACAATCAGTTCTCTGAGCTAGTTTGAGCTGGTTCCAGGATATCTCTACCTGTAGTCCACAAATCATGGAGTTTTAAAACTTGAGGCTTTTTGACCTTCTTGCCTTTCAATTTTGAATTTCCTTCCTTAACTCTACTCTGTGCACTGGATATGATCAGAGCTTTGAGAAAATGCCCAGTCTAGGGGGCAGCTAGGTGGTGCAGTAGATAGAGCACAGGCCCTGGAGACAGGAGGACCTGAGTTCAAATGTGGCCTCAGATACTTGCTAGCTGTGTGACCCTGGGCAAGTCACTTAACCCCCATTGCCTCCAAAATTTAAAAAAAAGAGAAAGAAAGAAAAGAAAAGGAAAGAGAGAGAGAGAGAGAGAGAGAGAGAGAGAGAGAGAGAGAGAGAGAGAGAGAGAGAGAGAAAGAGAAAGAAAGAAGAAGAAAGAAAGAAAGAAAGAAAGAAAGAAAGAAGAAAGAAAGAAAGAGAGGAAGGGAGGAAGAGAGAAGGAGAGAAAGAAAGAGAGAGAGAGAGAGAGAGAAAATGCTCAGTCTACAAGCTTGATCCTGAGGGAAGAACTTCACTGTGACATCATCAGAGCTGAGGGGGATTACCTGACTGATTCAGCCTGGCTGCTGCCTCCCCTAATCCTTCAGTCCTGACCATGGCGTAATGATAATTACACACTTGTTTGTCATAGGATCATAAGGTCATAGATTTAAAGCTGGAGGGGATCTGAGAGGTCTTCGCCTCCAACTTCTCCCCCATTTTGCAGATGAGGAAACTGTGGCATACAGTGGTTAAGTAGCTAGACCAGGACCACAAATTATGAAGTGTTTGAGGCAGTATTTGAACCTGAGTTTTCCTGTCTCCAAGTAATTGTGTCACACTTCCTTCTCTCGTCTCATTTTCTTATCTTTGACTTTGTCCTTCATCAGCATATCCTAGAGAGATAGGTCTCCTTGTTCCTTTATGTGTCTATGATATAGCCTAATCCAGACCTGCCTGCTCTGGTAGTTTCCTTACTGTATCTCTTCACCTAACCCCTCCCCAGACTAGTCTTCCATGCAGAATAAAGTATATATAGTCTTTACTTTAGCCTGCCTGGCCTGGGCCAAGTCCATCACCCTAATTCTCATGTTAGTCCATTCTCTAGCTTAATGTGGGCTGCAATGAGGTCATTTGTGCGGTTATATTGCTATCTGAAGCTGCATTCCCAACCAGCTTCCCTGTTATTTTCATTTAAGATTTAATAGTACCATCTTTCCAATGCTCCTCCTGCTTTATTCAGGTTTGCAATTGCAGCTGGGCTTTTTACTCCCCCGTCTTCAAAATTTAATTGAAAGTCCTCTCAATTAGTCTCTTGCTAAACCTATCCCTCTCAGTCCCCACACCTGAACAGTTGCCTTCCAATGTGGTATTATGGCTCACCATCCAGGAAATCACATTCTTGCTGTCATAGGCACCATCTACATAACCAGCTCCTCATTTCTGCCTTCTTCCAAGTCATGACCATCAACTGGATGAAAAGATGAAAATGAAAAACTCTGTGTTTCTATCTTATGCTTCTCAAATTGGCAAAGTTGTTTAAAAAAAAGGAAAATGACAAATGTTGGAAGAGTTGCAGGAAAATAGGTACATTAATATACTATTGATGGAACTGTGAGTTGGTACAACCATACTGGAAAGCAATTTGGAGGTATGCCTCCAAAGTTACTGAATTGTGCATACCCTTTGACTCAGTGACACTAGTTGCTGTTGTCGTGGTTCAGTTGTTTCAGTCGTATCTGACTCTTTATGACCCCATTTAGGGTTTTTTTGCAGAGATATTGGAATGATTTGCCATTTCCTTCTCTAGTCCATTTTCCAATGAAGAAACTGAGGCAAACAGGGTTAAGTGACTTGCCCAGGGTCACTCAGCTATTAAGTATCTGAGGCTGAATTTGAACTCAGGAAAATGAGTCTGCCCAGTGATACCACTACAAGGCCTTTACCACCAAAGAGATGGAAAAAAAAGGGGAAAACACCCATAAGTACAAAAATATTTATAGCCATTCTTTATAGCAACGAAGAACTGGAAACTAAGAGAGTTCTCATCATTTGGAGGATGTATGAACAAATGGAATTCTATTATGCAATAAGAAATGACTAGAGGGACATTTTCAGAGAAACCTAAGAAGACTTACTGATGCAAAGTGAAGTAAGGAAAACTAGGAGAACAATTTATACCATAACAATGTTTTAATGACAAAAAATTTTCAGATGTAAAGATGCTGATCAATGCAACAACTGACCATAATTCCAAGGGACCTATGATGAACTATGCTACTCACCTCCTGGCAAAGAGGTGATATACTCAAGATGTGATACAAGACATACATTTTCTAATATCCCAATGTGGGGATTTTTTGCTGGACCATGTCTATTTGTTAAAAGGAGGTTTTCCCCATGGGAAAAGACAAGGTGGAAGGGAGAGAAAATGCTTATTAATTGAAAAAAATAAATAAAAAAGAGATATAAGTACCACAGATTTTCAGCTTCTTTCTCAGACCTTAAAATTTTCAAGAAATGTGTTTCGTTTTGTGTTTTCATTCATTCCCACACAGAAAAGCAGAAATGGATAGCAGTTCATAGGTCTGTGCTTTGGGCAGTGCTCTGTCACAACTTGGATATGTTCTACAGAAACATGGACTTGTGATATTGTCTTCACCTTGTCAAGAAGAGTTCTCAGTAGAGTGCCACCAACCACCATCTTCTGTCTGTTCATTCTGGGAAACAGAGCAGCATTTGGGCTATTGCCAGAGAGTCTTCCTTTGCATGGCTGAAAGTTTCCTTTCCGTGTGTCTGAGAATACTTTTCATGAGAAAGCCTTGTCTGCTTTATGGAACCAATGATGTAAGTCCTTATCTTCTCCTCCAGGTCAGCGGCTTTCATCTTGGAATTTTCTTCTTCTTGGCTTCTATTCTCCCTAAGAATGATTCATCCTCTCTCACAAGCTAGAGTGAAGAGAAATATGTATCTCCTAAGGTCTTTGACGTTCTCAAAGAGGGAGACCAGCTTGGACTTGGAACAGACAGAGCTAGGAATAATGTCTGTCAGGAAGAGAAGCTTAGCACATATACAGCAGGTCACTGTAACATGCCAATCATGTCCTCATTTCTTGGATCCTAGTTAAGTTGGAGAGACATGAGGGTACAGTGGACAGAGTACTGTACTTGGAGTCAGAGAAAGCAGTATTTCATATTCCCCCTCAGACCCTCAATAGTTTTGTGACCCTGTAAGTGAGGGATAATAATAATAGAACTTAGTTCACAGGATTATTGTGAGGCTCAAAAAAGAAGCTCCTCATAATATATAATTAGGAACTAGTATATCTAACAGTCCTTTGCTCCATCTGGAAACTCCTTGTTTCCACATCTCTTTTCCAAATCTTCTGGGTGTCAAGTGCATTCAGAAAGAGGCTGTTTTAAAATCTTCTTAGCCTTGTCCATTCCTGAATGCCAAACCTTTTTTGGAACAGTTATAAAGACTTACACAGAACAGCTAATAGAAAAGAATTCTCCCTCCACTTCCAGGCATGCAGTTTTCAGCCACAACACCTTTGCTGGACTGCTGATTATTAGCTTTGACTTCTCTGCATTTGAGTTAAGTTCCACTCTCCCATTCTGGACTGCTTTGTCCAATCAGTGTTACAAACAGGACTCTGCTGTGAACATTTCACTTGAGACATTTTCCACTGCTGGCACTCTCCAAGACATGCATCTGGTGTTCAGTGTTCATGGAATTTCCCAAGAGTTCCACTTCAAAAATGGATCAAAGGATTGTCCTCAGATGAGAAAGATTTTGTGGTTTGATGTCTTTATGAAGTATTTGGAAAGATCAGTTCTGATTTCAGGATCCGGATGTTTGTACAGTTCCATACATTTTCTAAAACTGCATTTCAAAGTGTTTTCTACTAGGAAATAAGGAAAATCTTGGCCCTGTTTTCAAGGAGGACCCACTATTGTCACTTACAAAAAGGTTCCTCTTCCCATCTCTCTAAACTAAAGATTTAGCAGGCCAGATCAGTGGTTCCCCAAGGACAGACAAAGACTTGTTTACAGATCACTAAAGTAACATTTAAAAGGACTGACTGCTTATAAACCATTAGAATTTCTGAGACTGGCTGATGGAGCTGCAGGAATGAGTATTAAAGAAACAAGCGCTTTAAAAAAAAGACTTTAGGGCTCACAAAACAAGGCACAAAACAAAAACAATGCATCTCAGAAAAGTAAGGGGACTTGCCTCTGTTATTTATCCACTTAGATGTGGATATTTGGTATTTATTCCACTTAGAAGTATTGGAAAGGTGCTATCTTTTTTATTAAGCAGTTTATTAATTTTTCATTTTCAACATTCACTTCCATAAGATTTTGAGTTCCAAATTCTCTCTCTCCCTCATTCCTTCCCTTCTCCCCTCCCTGACACAGTAAGCAATCAGATATAGGTTATACATGTGCAGTTATGTAAAACATTTCCATATTAGTAATTTTGTATAAGACTACTCAAATAAAAGGAAAAAAATGAAAGAAAGTGAAAAATAGCAAGCTTCAGTCTATATTCAGTCAATATCAGTTCTTTCTCTGGCGGTGGATAGTATACTTCATCATTAGTCCTTTGGGATTGTCTTGGATCATTGTATTGCTGAGAATACCTAAGTCATTCACAGTTCTTCATTGAACAGTGAGGTTTGAGAAGCCCAACACTGTCTCATCCTCTCTCCCTCTCCTCTTTCGTCTATGTTGCTTTGGCTTTTTCATAGCTATCTGTCTGTCTGTCTTCTTCTCCTCTCCTTTACCTATCCTTTCTTTCCCTTTTGTCTTTCTTTGCCTCTATCCATATTTCTCTATCTCCATTCTCCAATTTAACCTTTAACTTTACCCTTACTTTTAAGTGTCCATAATGTGGATATTTTTTCTTTTGATTTTGGACCAGACTTGTGATTTTATTGATGTCAGGAACTTCCAGTGAGGAAACTCTCTCCACTAGTGTGGATAGCAATGATTCAGCTATGTTTAGTCTCAGAGTCTCCTACGGAAAATGGAATATGGAATTGCTGCCACTGAAGTCCTGCTCAAATGTCTCATCATGGTGTGGAGTAGCCTATGGGATCTATAAAGTTCTGTCAAGGAATTGGCAAGGCCCATCAGAAAGCTGGAAAGAATAAATAGGCCCGATGACAGATAGCATGCCTGTTGTTTGAAGGCCAGCCTAGCTCAGTCCAGAGACACGTTACCAGACAGTTGGCTACCAGTGACAAATTATTTCAACCACAGTAACTCATAAAATCCATCTGCTAAGGACTAGAGGGGCTGTGATCTGCATTAATGGAACAAAGTCTCATGTGGATGAAATCATGGATCCGTGAACCATAATGATGGAATTGAAATCCATTTTAAAATATTTGTTGTATCTGTTGACTAAACTTTCACATTCCTAATAAATTAAAAATCAGGTGAGTCTCTCTCTCTCTCATTCTCTCTCAAAACAAAAACAAGTTATCTTAAGTTGTTTTAATTTTTTTATTTTGAAAATGGCAGCATAGCACAGTGAGTAGAATCCTAGATCTGAAGGCAGTGAAAACTAGGTTGGAATCCAAATGCAGGCAACTACGTGGCACAGTGAACAGAGTGTTATGCCTGGAGTCAGGAAGTCTTGAGTTCAAATCCAGGCTCACATACTTACTAGCTATATGACCTCAGACAAGTCACTTAATCCTGTTTGCCTCAGTTTCCTCATCTATAAAATGAGCTGGAAAAGCTCATGGCAAACCACTCCAATATCTTTGCCAAGAAGACTCCAAATGAGGTCACAAAGAGTTGGACCCAATTGAAATGACGGAACAACAACAAATGTGACTTTGTGCAAGTCATCTATCCCCTATGAACCTCATTTTCCCCATCTGTAAAATGGGAGTAGCAATAGCACCCACCTCATAAGGTTGTTAAGGCAAGGCTTTATAGATTGTAAAGGGCTAAATAAATCTGAACTATTATTATTACTTTTAGAAGTCTCTGGAGGAAAGAATGTTCCCCACCCTCACCCTAGCATATTATGTACATCGACGTGCTTGCTGGTATGTGATTTTAAAAGGATTCGGTCACCAGAGATACTGGGGTGTTCTCGGCTCTCATGTAAAGGACTGCCATTACCTCCTCTGAATAAAATACACATTGTTCCAAGGCTCTTGACTACATGAGAACAGTGTGTTCTGCCATGAGTTAACTAGTTAGGAGGGTGTTTGTGGCTAATTGGCTCCTGGCTTGCTTTGTCCTCAGTATGGAATCGTGCTGGATGCAGGCTCTTCTCACACCAACATGTACATCTACAACTGGCCAGCAGAGAAGGAGAACGACACTGGAGTGGTACAACAGGTGGAAATGTGCAAGGTACAAGGTAAGGTGTGGAAATGTGGGAAAGTGGAAGTGGAGAGGAGATGGGGTGCCATGAGGGTCGTGAGAAGTCATGACCATAGAGTAGTATGCATTAAGAAGTAACCCTTCCAGTGAACTTTTGGGGGAAATTTGTTGATGCTACCTTGTAGGCACTGTTATAATCAACATGAATGCAATCCAATTTAGCAAACATTTATGAAGTATCTGTTATGTGCATGGCACTGCGATAAGTAGGTAGGGGATACAAGAATAAAAATAAAAGAATGTCCCTCAGGCCCTACTGAGAAGATATGATACATATGAGAAGCAGCGTGGCACAGTCAATGAAAGAGTTAATCCTGAAATCAGCAAGACTGGAATTCAAGTTCCACCTTTGACTTATCCTGGCTAAGGGATCTTGGGCAATTTATAACCTCCTAGTGCTCCAGGCAGTGATCTAAGATTGTAACTTACACATGAGTTGCTGATCTGCATTGGTGGAGGGAGTTTTCACACCTGGAACTTTGTACAGGTTCAAATTTCCTGCCCCATGTTCTCTTTCCCCCCATTTCAACCTACCTGCCCCCCCAAAAAACCTAGTCATACACAAAATGTAAGGCAATTTCAGGATGGAGTAATCACTAACAACTGGGGGGAAACAGGGAAGCCCTCATGGAGGAGGTGGCCCATAGGCTCAATATTAAAGGAAGATAAGGATTCTGAGTGGTAGGGATGAAGAGGAACGGCATTCCAGGAGAGAGGCTTCTATAAATGCACAGAGGTGGGACATGCTGAAATGTTGAGCTTGAAAAAAAAGTTAGCCATTCATTTTGGTTGTAACATAGGGTTTGAAGGGAGTAATGGGAAATAAGAATGGAAAAGTTGAAGCCAGGTTTGAAGCCAGATTTTCAAGGGCTTTAGAAGCAGAGGAGTTTCTACTTTATCTTTGAGTCAAAGGGAGTCACTGGAGCAGGGGAGTGGCCTGGTTCAACGGTGTTTTAGGAATATTATTTGGACAGCTGTGTGGAGGATGGATTGGAGGAGGAAAAAACTGGAAGCAGGGAGACCAATCAGGAGGCTGTTATATTAACGCAGGCAAGGGGTTCTAAGTATAAATGGAAAGAAGCAGATGGGTGTGAAACATGAGGAAGGGGAATCAATAGCACTGGAAAACTTTTTGGCTATAGAGAATGACAGAAAAGAAAGAGCCAAGGGACAGGGGCTCCAAGTTACAGTGCTGGGAAGATCTGAGTTTGAATCTTACCGCAGACACTTACTAATAGTGTGACTCTGGGCAAGGAACTAAACCTTTCTCAGCCTGTGAAATGGTGATAGTAATGGCACCTGATTCACAGGGCTGTGACTGAGGATCAAATATGATTTGCCATTTAAAGAAAGCACTTTGCAAACTTTAACAGCTATATGAATGTAGCTATTATAATTATTATGAATGGGAAGATGGTTGTGCTCTTAACAGAAACAGAGAAAATTAGGAGAGAGGAAAGTTTGTGAGGGGAGATGACTTTACTATTTTACTATGGTGTGAGTGTGACATGCCAGTGAGTCATTAGGATGAAGATATGAAGCATTTGGCAATATGGGACTCAGGTTGCATATACAGATTCAGGAATTATAGGTGTAGACATGATCATTGAACCTTTAGGGATGGATGAGCTCAGTAAGGGAGGGCACAGGATGGAGCCCTGTATGAATACTCATGTTAAGGAGACAGGAGATGGATAACAATTCATCAAAGACTGAGAAGGAAAAGTCAGGCAGGAAACTAAAGAAACAGGAAAGAGCAGAGTCATGAAGCCAAGGCAAGACAGAGTGTCTAGGAGGGGGATGTGGCTAATAGCAGTAATAATAGCTCACATTTATAGAGTACATTGCAGGTCTTCTCATTTGAGCCTGACAACAAACCTCTGAGGTAGGGGCTAGGAATATCCGCATTTTACAGGTGAGGAAACCAGAGCTGAAAAGGGTTGAGTGATTTGGCCAGCAGTTACACACTTAGTATCTGAGGCAGGATTTAAACTCAGGCTTTCCTGGCTCCAACTCCAATGTTTTATCTACTGTATCATGTAGCTGATTCATAGTATAAGAAGATATAGAAAGTTCACAGAGGAGGAGAAAGAAAAGGCTAACAGCTTTAGCAGCTGAGGTTACTTGTTACCTTTAAGGAAACAGTTTCAGAAAAATGTTAGGGGAGAATGGAGATAAAACCTAGAGCTGCACCATCCCTTCCCATCATCCCCCAGCTATGGCATGGCAGCTTAAAGTTTAGACAGGGGCCATGGGGCGCAAAGCAGCCGGGCCAAGGAAAGGGGGTTCATTGCCATTTGGCCTGTCTCTTGTCGTAGCCCTACCAGGGAGTTAGGACAGTGGGAAGTGGATAAACCTTAAAGGTTGCCTGCTTTGGAGAAGGGAGAACAAATCACTGGAAGTGGAGAGAGTAACTCCCAGAAACAAAATGGTTCCTACAGCCCATAGATCCAGAGCCCCTGACCCAAGCTGAGGAGCAAGGGTGGGGGCTAGCTTAGTTTCGGAATTTTGGTTCCAATCAGTTCATTGGTCAGCTTAGGAAAGCCTCGATAGGATTAATGGGTCTCTACTTTTTTCTTTGTCTCTTCAGTAACTTCTATATGCTCTGTAAATCATATAGTCTGTTTAATGTTTTCCCTGTAATTAACCAATCCTCATTAAACATCCTCTTCTGACTTGGGCCTGTTAAGGGAAGAGGACATCTACACAGATCTGTGTAGGACTGGAAGCAACTGAAGTTTAATTGCCTGGTGAAACAAATGCCTATGATTATGAAGATCAGAGTGCAATAAATAGTAAGGCTACTGGAATGGAAACCAGGAATTTTAAGTTCATTTCTCTTGTATAACTTGGAAACGGAACTCTATCTCATCCCAACAAGTGATAACATGTAAAAGGAAAAGAGTCAAGAGGCATTGGAGGCCCAGGGAAGGGGGAGAATGGAATTTACAAAACAGTTTCCATGCCAGAGTCCTTTTGGATCCAGCCCTTAAGAAGCACAATGTGCATAGTTCCAAAAGGATTTAGACAAGTTGTACAGAGTCAATCACTAATATTCACATAGTGTGGGCCTAAGTTAATTAATTTTCATATTGTTCATTTCAGTAGCATTTGTGCTGATATACTGCATGCAAATCCGCAGAAATATTGAAAAACAGCATCAGAATTTTTTTCTTCTCATCCTGGTGTGATAGGGCCTTTTGAAACGGACCCGAACCGAGCTTTCTAATACATCATTGGTAGACCTGTAGTGTACTGTAAATGTTTCGGAGAGGAACATGGCAGCATACAATAAGAATCACAAAACGGTACTTTTTGCCCAAGTGATTCCATTGCTCAGACTTTAGAGGATCACAGACTGAGAACTGGAAGTGATCTTAGAGGTCACTTAGTTCAGCTCCCTCATTGTATAGACAAGGAAACCGAGACTTGGAAAGGACAAAGAGGCAACACGTTTCTTGGTTATTGCCTGTTAATTCATTTACTTCTGCTTTTTTAAATGCTAAGGGCTCTAATATAAGATTTTATTTCTTTATAATACGTTAATTTGTTTTTGCTGATGATTGTTTATAGCAAATTTTTAAAAAGAAAAAGAAAACCTGCTGACTGAGCACTTTTTTGGGGTGTAGTGATTGGCTGAGACACTGCCAGCTGGGAAGCTGTTATGTTTTTATAGGCTGCACACTAGAGATTTAAGGCAGCGCTGAGCTTCTATAGCCTGGTATACGAAAAAGGCACTATAATGAAAGCTTAAAGATCTAGATTCTAGTCCTTTTCTGTAATAGACTTATGAGTGATTCTGAACAAGCTCACTTCCCTGGGTTTCAGTTTCTTCTTCTGTAAAGTGAGGATTTAGGGCTACATAATTCTTATTACTTCATAGTACTCAGCACATAGTAGGTGCTTAATACATGTTTATTGACTGATTTATTGCTGTAGCTCTCATTACCTTAAGTCTGCCCCATTCTCTATTCTTGCTTTCCCCACGCTTCCTGAAGTGTTTGGGCCAACATCTTAAGGCCCCACATGGTACAGCGAGGGCAAGATGTCTCAGGCCCACCTAGGTTTATATTTATGAGCATGGATTAGAATAACATTTTTCAGATTTATGAGCATTCCATCTCCTACCTGTATGCCTTGGCCCAGGCTGTCTCTCATGCCTGGAATGTTTCTCCTTCTCATTTATGCGTCTTGGAACCCTTGATTCCCTTAACAAAGTTCAGCTCAAGGGATACTTCCTTCAAGAGGGATTTATAGCACATGTGGGACTCCACATGTTGAGGCCATCTATCCATGCTTGACATTGGCTTTTTTAAAAAAAACAAAATGTTATTGGTACCTATCGTGTAAATTTTCCCCTGTACCTCTCCCTTTGCCCCTCCCAGACAGCCACACTTTATAACAAAGAATATTTTAAAAGAAATAAAGAAAAAGAGGAAGAATAGCTAAGACAATCAGCAAAACCAGTCAAAACATCAAAAACAATCTGAAAATATTCCAAACCCTTTGATGTTCCACCTCTGCAAAAGGGGTAGGGGGAAGGGGGAAGAAGAGTTCAATTTGATCCAATGATGGAGAACAAATGTTTCTGGAGAGGTACTGTAGTATATAGTAAAAATATCAATGGAGTTCATCTGAAGATGTGGGTTCTAGTCCTAACTTAGAAGAGTCGACATAGGGAACCAGAGGTTTTCAAAGAAAAACAAACCTCTGGGAGGTCTGGGGGGTAGGTGTGGAATGTAAACACAAGGAGTCCAACCCCAGCTTTATCCTGTGGTGTCTCATAGTGCAATCTATGAAGCTTTTGAACTTATTCAGCAGCATTAGAATCGTTTATTATGGTTTACTCGATATCTCCAGGTCCTGGCATCTCAGGGTATGCCCAGAATGTGGAAGATGTAGGTTTTTACCTAAATCAGTGCATGGACAAAGCTCAGCAAGTGATTCCCAAGGAGCAGCAGCATCAGACCCCTGTTTATCTCGGAGCCACGGCTGGCATGAGGTTGCTCAGGTATAGCAGCATCTAGGAACCTATGATAGGGTTAGGATTTGGGGTTCAAGGCAATGTCCCCGTTGTAGTAGTTAAATCCTCCATCTTGCAAAAGTCCAAGAGGGGAACAAGGATTTCAATCAAGATTCACTGAACAGACTCACTGGACCTCAGAGCTCAAAGTGAGCTCAGAGACCATTTGGTCCAACCTGTACTCAATTACGAATCTCCTCTATGCTATCCCCAATAAACAGAAACATAACTAGCCTATGGCCACTAAGACTTTCCACCACGGTGAGGAATTTGAGGCTGCAAAAATTTGAATCCTCTACTTCTTTAGAAAGAGGTGAAGGGGGGCACTAGGTGGTACAATCGATAGAGCACCGCCCCTGAAGTCAGGAGGACCTGAGTTGAAATCTGGCCTCCGACCAAACACTTGACACTGTGACCCTAGGCAAGTCACTTAACTCCAATTGCCCCCCCCAAAAAAGAAGAGGTGAAGGGAGTGTGAGCTCAGATGCCAACCAAGAAGTGGGGAAGAGGATGTTTGGCTCTCCTTTGACTCCAGGATAAAAATGCAAACATCTGTTTGGCATTTCAAGCCCTTCACAATTTAGCTCCAGCCTCTCTTTACAAGCTGAGTACACCTTATTCCCCCTCACACACTCTATAATCCAGCCAAACAATCTATGTGCCTATTCCCAACACATGACATTTCCTCTCTCACTCCCATATGCCTTGGCACACAGGCTGTCACCCATATCAGGAAGGCTTCTCTCTCTCATTTTAGCATCTTAGGACCCCAGCTCCTTTTAAGGCTCAGCTCAAGTGCTATCTCCTTCAAGAAGCCTTTTTAAATTCCCCCTCCTGCTAGAAAAAAAAATCACTTTGTACTTATTTTGCAAATATTCTGTATTTGTTTTATCTGGGAACATGTCATAATCTTCCTGTAGAATGGAAGCTCCTCGTGGGCAGGGACAGTCTCACTTTTGTGTTTGGGTCCCCAGCACCTGGCACAGGTGATTGTTGATTGATATGATCCCTGATTTTCCCTCCCTCTCAACTAAACCTGACTTGCTTCTTGTGGTCTTGTCTCATCATGAATCACAAAGTTGTTTTGAAGGTACGTTTTGTGTCCCTTGACTCAGATGGTGCTGCTTTTCCCAGGCAGCAATTGCCTCAAGTGACAAAATTGCTACTTGTGGTTCTGCCAACAAGTGGTCATCCGGTGTTTGATGAGAGCCTCCTGAGCAGATTCCCTTTTTCTTCTTTTGGACAGCTCTCATTGTTAAATGTTTTTCTTCTCAGCAAACTGAAATTTGAGTCCCTGAAATTTCCGCCCATTGCTCTTAAGTCTGCCCTCAAGGATAAAGTATAAGTATGATCTCTCTTCCGTGGGACAGCCTTTCAGATTCTGGAAATCAGACATCATGTACCCCCTAAATCTTCTCTCCAACTAGGCACCTCCAGTTCTTTTTGACCATTTCTCATGTGGCATGAACTCAAGATTCTTCACCATCCTGGTAGTCACCTTAATCAATTAAAAAAACAAACCATTTTTTTGCTTTTTGATGAGGTAATTGGAGTTAAGTGACTTGCCCGGGTCACACCACTAGTAAATGTCAAGTGTCTAAGGCCAGATTTGAACTCAGGTCCTTCTGACTCCGAGGCCAGAGCTCTATCCACTGCACCACCTAGCTGCCCCAAATAAAAAGCATTTATTAAGCACCTACTATATACCAGGCACTATACTAGATGGTGGGAATACAATTTAGAAAGTGAGACAAGCCCTGCTTTCAAGGAGCTTATATTCTACAAGGCTGTTGCAGTTGTTTGTCCTTTGTTCTTAAAGAGGATCGATGACATCCAGAAGGTGATGTCTTGACTTGCAAGTGAATTGGATTTAAGCGAGGCAAGGCTATGCAGAGCCACCAGCCTCACTCTCTCTTCTGGAGCCACATGGGTCCAATGGCAAGATATAGATCAGGACAACTGCGGGGATATGTATGAATGGACAAGTCAATACAAAACAAATACAAAGTGAAGGGGGATGGGCACTACCAAGCACTTAGTACTGATTGGTTGGCAAAGAGAACCAAAATGACATCACTATGTTGGGATCAATGTATGTTATTTAGTACTAAGTGCTTAATAGATGCTTGTTGACTGCCTGACTGACTGACAAGCGGGGCAATCAGGAAGGGTCTTTTGAAAGAGGTGTCACTTGAGCTGCCAGAAGGCAGACTGAGGTGGCCTGAGAGTAGGAGTCCCAAGTTAGTCATTGTTACCTCCTCTCAGGTCTAGGGATCTTGTTTCCTGGTGGTAATTTGCCCTGGTGTAGGGTGGGTGAGGGAGGTTGGGATCTCAGGACTAGTAGCTAACAGAGCTCTTCTTTGTGTTGGGGGTCCAGGATGGAGAGCAGCCTCCTGGCGGACAAAGTCCTGACAGCTGTGAAACAGAGCCTCTCTTCTTACCCTTTTGATTTCCAAGGGGCCAGGATCATCACTGGCCAGGAAGAAGGTGCCTATGGCTGGATTACCATTAACTACTTGTTAGGCAAATTCAACCAGGTAATATCAATCCTCTAGGATGTGTGGGAGTGGCTGCCTGGACGCCCGCACAGTTTGTGTCCTGGGAAGTATATTGGTGGTGTCACCAGCAGTTCCAATTCTACTGCTAAGAATGTGTGATTATACTGGCATCCTTGGCCCCAGCTTAATGCCCTGCACACAGTAAATGCCAAATAAATGCTTGTTGATTGATATGTAACTATGAGTCTGAGATTTCAGAGTGAAATCTTTCTCAGAGAACTAAAGTTATCTGCCCCTTATGAGGAAATTGCTTTTTGAGCGATTAGTAGCATGTGTTAGCCTGTACTGAAGTCCTCTTTTGATGCCACACTCTGGTGTAGCAGGGTGCTCAGAGGTGAGGCTGGTAGAAGATGCTAGCAAATTACCAAGCATTCATGTAGGGACCTGGCAAAGGATTCTTGTCTGAGGACCAGCCTCCTCTGCAATGGACTGTCATCTGAGGACCAGCCTAGCCAAGTTCAAGGAGGGTAATCAGTAGGCAAGCCAAGGAAGGATAGAGTTTTGGAGCTGTAACATCTCTCCAAGACCCTCTACTGAGGCACAGAGGAGTTGCAATTTGTTTCAGTGGAGGGAGAACCCCCACTGATGAAACCAAAGATCTCAGAAGCACTGACCTAATGGGAGAACACTGTAGAATGGAAAATCTCTGGGCTTGTGTCCCTAATGTTTACTGGGAACCCCTCTTTTCTGGCCATTGATTTTGGCATAGATTCCATCCCTCTTCCAAAGCTATGCCTCGCCTTGCCCCTGGGCCCCTGCTCCTTTTCTTCCTGCACTTGAATCTAGGAAGGGGTGTGTCACAGGGCACATGGTAGGTGTGGGGCCGTCCACTCCTACCTATAGTAGCATAATAAGCTTCATCTCTTTTAGACTGTCAGCTGGCTCAGACTTCTGCCCAGAAGAGAAGGTCCCCAGGAAACCTCTGGGGCCTTGGACCTTGGAGGAGCCTCTACACAAATAACTTTCGTGCCCCTCAATGACCAGATTGAGTCCCAAGGCAACTCCCTACACTTCCGTCTCTATGGCAAGAGCTACAATGTGTATACACACAGCTTCCTGTGTTATGGGAAGGATCAAGCTCTCCGGCTAAAACTAGTCAGCAGCATTCAGGCAAGTCTAACCGATTCCAGATCCTGCCTCCCCCACATCTGCAAGCATGACCTCACATCCTGTTTTCTCTGCCTCACACATTATCATTACTGAGGTTGGGCTCAGCAATACACCCCCCAGCCCTGACCAATTTTTGACAAGTTATCTGACAAAATTTGGTGGACCCTAATTTTGACAGTTGTTTATTCCCAGCATCCCCTCCTCTTACACCTCCCACATCCAACACATTTCTTTAGTATGTCAAAGATTTAGAGCTGGAAAGGGACCACGGGGATTATTCACTCTGTTCCCCCTCATTTTACAGATGAGGAAATTAAGGCCCAGCAAGGTGAAGTAGGAGGCAGCTTGACAGCGCAGTGTATAGAGCATGGGCCTAGAGTCAGGAAGACCTGAGTTCAAATCTGGCCTCAGACACTTACTAGCTATGTGACCCTGGGCAAGTCACCTGACCCTGTTTGCCTCAGTTTCCTCATCTGTAAAATGAGCTGGAGAAGGAAATGGAAGACCACTCCAGTATCTTTGCCAAGAAATCCCCATGGACAGTGTGGTCCACAGGGTCACAAAGAGTAGAACATGACTGAACAACAATAACGATGTGAAGTGATTTGCCTATAGGCACAAAGAAAGCAAATGGCCAAGCCAGGATTCAAAAACAGGCCTGTCCATTTCAAATCCAGTGTCCTACCTCTCTTATAAAATATCTCCAGCCATAATTTTCAAACTAATCCAGGAAACTAATTTTTAAACAATCCCCAGGAGACTACTTCTTACTGCTATAAGACTACCAATGAAAATAGCTTGGCAAGACGTGATATGCCCTGAGGAGGGTAATTGTGGCTTTTTCCTGCTATGGGTCACATGGCCATTAAGAAGCCGGCTGAGTTGCTATGAGTTTTTGTCATCCGTTGTTAGGAGTTTTTATCTTCATTTCATAACAACAAAAAGAAGATTGTTATAAAAAGCCTGTTAATGAGAAACATTTTAGTAAAAGCCACAGTTTGAGTAGACCAATTGACCTTCAAAATTCCATATCCAAACACTTTCTGTATTTAAAGATACAAGAAGCCAGGCTTGCTCTGCTAGCTCCCAATCACCTCTCTTTTCTTTTCACTACAAAGAAAAGCCTCACTCTCCTCAGCCTCTCTCTTCCAGGTCCTTGCCCTGGTTTTTCACTTTTACCTTTATAGCCGGGGGTACTTCCACCAAATGAACTTGGGCTCCCCCAAGTTAGCATCATAGGGTTATCATTTTAGGGTTGGAAGGGACCTTAAAAGCCATAAAGTCCTACAGATCAAGGAATGGAGGTACGGAGGTCCCAGATAGTGAAGAGGCAGCTAGGTGGTGCCATAGTGGATAGAGCAATGGCCTTAGAGTCAGGCAGACTCATTTTCCTGAGTTCAAATCTGTCCTCAGATACTTAGGAGTTGTGTGACCCTGGAGAAGTCACTTCACCCATTTGCCTCAGTTTCTTTATCTGTGAAATGAGCTGGAGAAAGGAAATGGCAAACCATTCCAGTATCTTTGCCAAGATAACTCCAAATGGGGTCCCCAACAGTTGGACCCAAATGAAACAACTGAACAATAACAAAAGGTGGTAAGGAACACAGCTGGGTTTTGAACTCAGATATTCAGACTCCAAAAGTCAAGCTCTTTCCCTTGTACCAAGGGGCAAAAGCTTGGGAATTTTAGCTGAAATTCTGCCATAAGCCTTTGCCCTTAAAGTCATTTAAGTCAAGCTTGTAGTGAGCCTAAAGTATTACTAGGACCACTTTCAATCTGGTTGTCTAGATAGCCCAAGGATGGTATTTTTTAACATTTGTGACAAACTCCAGATCACACTACTGACATGTTATACAACTTCCCAGAGAAATGATCTCTTTATCATTGACACTCCTACTGTGTCTCATTTTTTTTTGGCACCTCCCTTAAGCTCTAATTTTCTTTCTTTCTTTCTTCCTTCCTTCCTTTCTTTCTTTCTTGCTTGCTTGCTTTCTTTCTTGCTTTTTTTGGTGAGGCAATTGTGATTAAGTGACTTGCCCAGGGTCACACAGCTAGTAAGTGTCATGTGTCTGAGACTGGATTTGAACTCATGTCCTCCTGACTCTAAGGCCAGAGCTCTATCCATTATGCTCTAATTTTCAAAAAATGTTTAATTATTGCTTTTAAAAAAACCAAAACCTTATTATTAATTTTTGAGTGCCATCGCTGTTGGACTAGATGACTTTTAAGTTTCCTTACAACCCAAATGGAACTCTCTCTTATGACAAAGAAGAACAGTTAAGCAAGAACAAACTCACATATTGATAAAAACTAATAGCATATGCCTCATTCAGTACCTGTAGTTGACCACCTCTCTCCCAAGAGGAGGCAAATGTGTAGCCCTCTGAAGTAAACATTGATTAATGCATTGATCTGAGTTATGATGTCTTTGAGATTATTCTCTTTTATATTATTATGGTCCTTGTTGTGCATATTATTTTGCCTTGGTTCTGCCTACTTTACTCTACATCAGTTCAAATCCTTCCCAAGTTTCTCTGAATTCTTCATTGTTATTGTTCAGTCATTCAGTCATGTCCAACTCTTTTCATGACCCCATGGACCACAGCATGCCAATACTGTCCATGGGTTTTTCTTGGCAAAGATACTAGAGTGTTTTGCCATTTCCTTCTCTAGTGGATTAAGGCAAACAGAAGTTAAGTGACTTGCCCAGGGTCACACTGCTAGTAAGTGCTGAAGCATATCTGAATTCAGGTCTTCCTGATTCCAGAGCCAGTGCTCTATCTACTAAGAATTCTTCATAGTTATCATTTATTATAGTACAATAATATTCTACTACAATCATACACTATCATTTGTTCAGCCATTCCCAAATAGACACCCACCTTGTTTCCAGTTTTTGGTGTTGTATTAGATCTGTGATTTCACTGGTGTGGAGAACTCCCAGTGAGGAAACTCCCTCTAGCAAAGCAGAGCAACAATTACTTGATTCTACAGATCTCCTGCCTAGGGCTCTAAGAGCTTAAGTATTACCTGGGGCCAGACAACCAACTTGTAGTCCTTGAATAGGTCTTCCTGACATTTTGACTAGCTTTCTGTCTACTATGCTGTGCTTTCATCCTTCTATTTTCTTGTTGCCACAGAAAACAAAAATTAAAAAAAAAAAGGCTGTAACAGTTTAGCACTCATTTTGGCATTCTGGATATTTGTGTGTGTATCACCCCTACTAGGTCCTTTAAAGTCTGTCTTACTTATCTTTGAAACTCAGAAGGGCTACTATGTGCATATTAAGCACCTACTAAGTGCTCAATATGTTTGAATGGATAAATGAATACCAGTGAATGTGTTATATCAGTGAATGAATATACTATGTCAATTCTGCTTAGATGGGGTGTAAGGAACAAGGAGGACATTAATAACAGCCCTAAGTCCTGCTCCTACAAAAACAAACCTAAGATGTATGTTGTGAGATCACGTTGTGGCTCCTTCCCTTCCCATGGCCTTGCAGGTCATGGATTTCCGTATTTTCTCGTGTAGGATGCAGAGAATGGACTCCTAAGGGATCCATGCTTCCACCCTGGCTATGAAAAGGATGTGAACATAAGTGAGTTCTTCAACACACCCTGCATCACAAAGGATAAGAAATCATTTCCATTTCGGAGACTTCAAATACAGGGTACTGGAAACTACTCGGCATGCCTGCAGAGTATTCAGAAGATCTTCAACACCACCTATTGTCCTTACTCAAGGTGTTCTTTCAATGGAGTTTTCCTGCCATTCTTACATGGAGATTTTGGGGTAAGTAGAGGAAATGATTTGGCATTTCAGATCTCAGTTTTTAAGGAGGTAGAAATGAATACCATGACTGAATGCTTCTCCTGAGGTGTAATCACTGACTTTGAAAGTCCCAGGAAGACTTTATTTCATTTCAACATTGGGCAGGAGACATTTGATCGTGGTCTGAATTAAGGCTGTTTTTCTTAACCGTGTGGAACATCGGAGCTCTACATTTCATGGATTCATAGCCTTTTAGACTAAAATCTTTCCCTTGTTGAGGATAAGTGGCTGATTGGCATTCAAGCTTTGTGACCTCACATTTGCTGACCATTCTTGGTGGCAGTGATAGGAAGCCAGACCGGGCTGCTGCAGTAGTTTTGATGGGACAGCTTCAAGGGAGCAAGAAAGTAGCACCCTTTGAGTTCACACCCCCTTCCTACTTATCCAGGAAACTGATTACCAAGAATGAGACAGCCAGGCAGGAAAGGAAACCAGCATTTTTTAAGTGCTTGCTATATGGTAGGTACTGTGCTAAATGGTAAAGATGTTAATAAAAGCAAAAAGACAGTCCTTGCTTTCTGGGACCTTGCATTCTAGTGGACAAAGATGATACATAAAAGGGAGCTGAAAGGGGGGGACAGGAAAGGAAGAAGTTACTTGCCTTGGGAGAGGAAATGAAAATTTATGGCATTGATAAAAGAAAGACTGAGAAGGAAGGATTGGCATCACTCTCTCATGCCACCTGTTTTTTCTTAGCATTAGGACATGATGGTAGGCAATCATTTTTGCTGGTAGGGGGGTCCTGGCTCTGTTAAATGACCCTGAAGGAGGAGAAGGAAAGCACTTCTAATGGAATAGTACAACAAAAAGTTTAGCCCAGAAACTGTAGATTCCCTCACTGGTTTTGCCATCATTTTGGTTATCCCCACCTTTAGGGTTTCCCTTTCAAGGTTTCACAGTCTTTCCCTATGTTCTGTAGTGGCCTTTTCAAGCAAAAAATCCTCCAATGACTGGTTAGAATGTACTATTTTACCATACTGTGATAGAATCTTGGGGTGCAGTTTGTATACCAAAAAAAAGTACAAAGTTAAGTCTCACATTACTCTCCTTAGCTTGACACAGGTTTACATGGATCAGGATTCCAGATATGTTTCCCATTTCTTGTACTTGATTTCTCCCCTCAGGTTCAATGTCAGAGTCATTTGTCTCAGCTTCTAAGGTTGCCATAAAAGCAAGACCCCAAGTTTATACTCAGGCCCAAGGCGAAACTTCTCATCTCAGTCATCCTAATGATTCTCCTCATTTCCCTGAATCAGACCCTCTCCTCTGAGCATAAAGCCCATTAAACCACCCTAGCTCTAAAAGCATTTTCCTCCTCCCCCATCCCCAAAGTTTCCCAAAATAGCTCTAATTTCTTCACAACTCTCCCCTCCCCACCCACCATCCCAGTATCATAAATCTAGCTTCCATTCTCTCACCTTGCTCTCCTCCCATCCCAGTATCTTTTTCTTGCATTTCAGCACCAGCATTAGCATAATTACTAGCATCTCCAAAATCCAACTACATTCAAGTTATTCTGGGCCCCACCAGCCTGAAGTTTCTTAATCCACATGTAATTTTACAGTTCCAGATTATTATTATTTTTTTTTGCCACAGTTGTATTTGGGACTTATGACCTCATTCTCCAGATGTAAATAGAGTCTCAAAGGCTGTCACTGTTCCTGTCATTTTGATTAACTTGTTCTTTTGGACTGCTGGACTGAATCCCATTTTGGAGGCAAATTAGAAACATCTCAAGAAGGGAGGGAATAAATGAGATCTTCAGGGATGAGATAATGAGATAATTTTAAAATTATTTTTAATGACATCTGTGAATACTATGTTAACAGCACAACTAGGAAAGCAGAATTGACTAGAACATTGTGAGGAGGGATAAATCAAAAATCAAGTTCAAAGACTTCTTAATGAGATTTATTAGAATGATGAACAATGTTCCCTAAGGAGATTGGGGAAACCACCATTGTTTATTTAGACTATGTAAAACCAAACAAGGCAGATTTCTAAAGAATATACCCAAAGGTATGCAGGCTCCTAGACTAGGGAAAAAAGAAATTGGCTATCTTATCCAGTTTTTAGGATTCTGGATTTAGGCATGGTTTTGAAATTGTGGAGTAAGAAACTAGAAGCTATTTCTAGAGAACTAGGGTGGGAGAGGAGAAGAAAAAGAAAACAAAGAGGAATTGGAGGGGGTAACCCAAAAATGGGTAAGTGGGAGAGATTTATATAGATGATTAAATGCATCTACCATATCTCAAGGAGTATTATTCTGGCTATGTAGTTCAAGAATTTCGGATTTCATTGACTTGTTTGGAACTGGAATGTTTCTAGCACCACCCAACAATTCCTTTTAGGCAGGTTGGGATGACCCCCAAATTCTGTGTTTGTTCTCTGAACTATGGAAACCTGGCAACCAATTTATCCAAGGATGATCAGGCGCTGAGAAGACTGATTTCTATTACCTAAACTCATACAGGCCTGATTAGTACCAGAAAACCAGTTTTTTAAGTCACAGAGAGATCAGTGGACAGGTCGTAATGCAGCAGTCAAGTTTATTTTCTCGCTGGCAAGGAAATCTATGTGGGTTTAACCAAGAATGTTTCTTGGTCAATAAGGAATCACAAATATAATAGCTTGGATGGAAAGGTGTTATTGACTAGTGGAAAGTGTAGAGTCAGCAGACACTTGACTTCCAATCTGCCTCTGAATCAACTAATCTTACTGGGTAAAATCTATAGAATCTGTAGAATGAGGATAATAATGTTGTATTACTTATTCTCCAGCTCTCTCTTTTTTTCTCCTCTAGACTCTATGAAGACCTCCAGTCTTCCGTTTGTACTTGTCATTGCACATTACTTCAACATATTCATCATTTCACAGCAGGTTACAACTTCCAAGTTTGCAATTAATTATTAAGAATCATATTGGAGTTATGGATGCCTTTGGAGAGGCATCTTCATTAACTACTAGGACACTACTTCCTAAATTGTACTTTGAGCAATCTGAATAGGGGTTTGATGAGAATTTTGGCTTTAGTATTAATTCTCCTTTGAAATACTAAATGGAATTATGCATGCATCAAAAATATTCCTCTGTAATCTTTCAATATGAACATTGGTTTAATTATTTATATTTTGTTCTGAAATTTCCCCAAGTCTCCTTTATCCCAGGGAAATTCCATACCCCCTCCCCCAAGCTCCCAGAGTTGCCTCTATAGCTTCTGTCAAAACATTTCAAGCTCTCTAGTCTAGTGTTCAGTGGTCTAATTGGAGATAACCTTAATTCATAATTTTCAATTAAAGAAGGCAACTCTTTCCCTAGCTCGGTGTCTTATTCTTTTTCTTACTATGTGTAAAGAAACTACTAATAGTAATTAATAGCTAGCATTTACAGAGTACTTTAATGCTTATAAATCACTTTATAAACATTATCTCATTTTAACCTCACAGCAACCATGGAAGAAGCTAAGAGCTACTATTATCACCATTTTATGAAAAGGAAACGGAGATAGATAGAAGTTAAGTGGCTTGCCCAGGATCACCCAGCTAGTACGTGTCTAAGGCTAGATTTGAACTCAGGTCCTCCTGACTCCAGCTTCAGCTCTCTCTATTCAGTACACCTCCACTATAGATAGGAAAGCACCTGTAACTATACTTAAGACCCAGGCCCACCTGCTGAATTTTTTTTTTTTACTCAATGTCTACTATGACTGGACCAGACAGCTATTAGGGTCTAATTAAAAATTATCATAGTCTTGTCCCAGCCCCTCTTGCTAGCTCTACATACTTCTACTACTGGATGGAAAGTACTTTCTTATCTTACTTCACTGCTAGCAAGGGACTCTCTCTTAGCTAAGCTTTGTACCTGTGACCCAGGACCTAACACACACCTCTGCACACAGTAGGCATCGTTGGTTTCCTTCAAAGCACAATTCAGGAACCACCTTCTGCAGGACACCTTTCCTTATTCTGCCCAACCTGGTCCCCAGTTATTTTCACTTTCTCTCTCTTAAAATTGCTTCATATTTACTTGTGTAACATCGTCCAACCAAATGCAAGCTGTTTGAGAATGAGGGACTCTTTCTTTTCTAGCCTTCACAAATGCAGTGCCTTCCACATAGTAGAGGAACAATATTTGTTGAAGTAAATTGAATCAAATGTTCAGTCAACACAACTATTCCCCAGGTCTTGATTCCTGACTCACTTCTCATCCTACTCAAGACCCTTAATAACTTTATTTATTTTTTATCCTTTTCCCTGACCATTTTAATATGCCATATGTACATTATTCTTGTAGTAATTGCCACATATAGCTTACAAAGAAAGGGTCATTTCATCATATTTTGCCTCTTAGATTTTGGGGGTCTGGATCACTTTGGAGGCCTGTAGCTTCTTGTTTACTAAATAAAGTCTGGGATTTCTTGCCAATAGGAGGTTTTATAAACCTATTCACCAAGCCTTCATTTTTTTGCCCTAGGAGGACACTGCTCTTTGAGGAAGACAGGAAATAAGACTTGATGCCCTGTGACCTTCTCAAATTTTGGACTGGGCATTCATTGCAGTCTGAGCCTCTGAGGCATGAGAAATTTTCTTTGCTGGGTGTGTTAAACTATGTCAATCCTCTCTCTCTCTCTCTCTCTCTCTCTCTCTCTCTCTCTCTCTCTCTCTCTCTCTCTCTCTCTCTCTCAGGCTTTTTCTGCTTTTTACTTTGTGATGGACTTCCTGAACTTGACAGATTCCTCTCTGGAAAGCGTGATCACCAAAATGCAAACTTTCTGCTCCCAGCCCTGGGAAGAGGTAAGTGACATATTTCTGCATCAAGGTAAGATTTGCAAAGTGCTCTACACATATTATGTCATTCGATCTTCACAACAACCCTGTGAAATTGTACAGGTATCATTATTCTCATTTTATAGATGAGAAAACTGAGGCATGTTAAGTGACTTGCCCAGGGTCTCACAGCTAGCAATAATGATTTTATAGATGATCTAGGCAATTAGATGACCATTTCATAGTCACAGGGTATTAGAGATAGAAGAGACCTTTGACATCTTCTAGTCCAGAGGTCAGCAAACTACAGACAGGCAGCTGCTGATTTTTACATTTTTAAATATAATCAAACTTTATTTAAAAAATGTAAGAAAGCTAGAACTGGAGCCATCATACCTCCTCCCACCCCCCACCACTGTCCCCCAATGCTTCAAGAACTAGCTGGTTTGGAGACTTGTATCATTCATAGCCTAACCTCATAGTTCGTGTTAAGAAAAAGAGACCTGGGGCCTAGCCCTGACAGATTATAGAAAAGACCCCATCTACAAGGGCCAAAGCAGCTGTTGTGAGTTTTAAGGGCAAGTCCATAATATACCAAAAGCAGACTACATTTTGATTGCTAATCTGCTGGGAACTAGGCATGGAGCTTTTGTCCTTCCGTGGATGCAAGAGTTGGTAGCTTTTACCTTTTCCATTGAGGATATCTATGGAATTTGGACTTAGTACCTCACTCTATAGCTGGGGTTCCCAGCCTGTTTTGGCTCCCATACCCTTTAGGTTTGAGTAAATGTTCCTGTAACCCCTCTGCAAAATGAGTGGAAATAAATTCTAGAGTTTACCATGCATGTGCATGTAATAGATAAAATAATTCATTTCAGTAGGATAATAAGATATTTACCAATTATCCCTTGCACCCACTTAATGAGCTTCCTGTACCCCATGAGATACATATACTCCAGTTTGGGAGGCCCTGCTCTAGAGACAATATTAGATTATCTGGGAAAATGGAGAAAAGCATAGATGAGTAAAGTCTGTGGAAAGTAAAAACATCTTGCTTTCCAACCTTTCTCTCACTAGGCTTTCTACTAGAGCTTCCAAAATGTGGCAGAATGGAATTTGAGTTTCACCTGCTTTGATATCACATTGAACTGGGTCAGGATTCTCTCGTTGCTGGGAATTCCAGCTCCTTGTCCTTCTGGAAAGGTGAATAGTAAGGAGCCCACAAACCCCCAATACAACCAACTCCCAACTCTAAGCACGTGTTAATTGTCTGTGCCTTTGGCTTCTCTTAGTCCTGATGGCTCCTTTTTTTTTCTTTTATTGGGCAACTGGGGTTAAGTGACTTGCCCAGGTCACACAGCTAGTAAGTGTCAAGTGTCTGGTCTGAGGTCAGATTTGAACTCGGGTCCTCCTGACTCCAGGACTGGTACTCTATCCACCTCGCCACCTAGCTGCCCCTATGATGGCCCCTTTTCTTTTGGCCATTTCTATGCCTAATAAATTCCTTACTTATTAATAGGTAAAGGAGATGAAAGGGATTACAACAAATTTAATTTTGCTACTTTTTAATACCTTTAGCAAAAAAATTTAGGGAAAGAAGAGGTTAAAAAGAGAGTTTGTAGGGCAACTAGGTGGCACAGTGGATAGAGCACCAGCCCGGAAGTCAGAAGGAACTGAGTTCAAATCCAGCCTCAGACCAAACACTTGACACTTACTAGCTGTGTGACCCTGGGCAAGTCACTTAATCCCAACTGCCTAAAAAAAAAGTGAGTGTGCATTTTCAGTTGACTCCATTGGTCCATGTTCTCCTTTGTCCTACACAATGTAGTATGCGGTAGGGTGAGGCAATAATTCTAGACTCCACAAAGAGATATCCTCAATAGAGAAGGCCCAAGGTATGTGCTCTTGAACCAGTGGAAAAATAGTAGTCTCACTCCCACTTCTCACCGAGAATAGGACCATAGATTTAGAGCTGAAAGAAATATTTAGACCTAGTTCAGGGGTTCTTAACTTGGGGGCCACAGACCTCAAAGGGTCTGTGGGTAGATTTCAAGATCATTTATGAACTTGGATAGGAAACAAAATTTATTTCAATATAATTGATTTCTTTTGCAGTCCTTGTATTTATTTTACACATTTAAAAACATTATTCTGAGGAAGGGGTCCATAGACTTCACCAAAATGCCAAAGGGGTTCATGGTACAAAAATGGCTACAAACCCTAGATCACTCTCAATAGCTCAGCCTCCTGCCCTTCTCAAAGCTAGGCTTAGGGACTTTCAACCTGTTTCATTTGGAGACTGCAATCCCAATTACCTTACTCTTGATCAGCACTATAATTGGAAACTAGGTCTCTTGACAGGTGTCTATTGTAGTCAAATAAAGTTAAAAATCTTTTTTTTTTTCCTTTCAAAGGTGAAAGCACAATTTCCTAACATCAAAGTGAAGTACCTCAGTGAATATTGCTTCTCTGGGACCTACATTCTTGCCCTCCTACAGCTAGGATATGGATTCACTGAGGATAACTGGAAAAATATCGAGTTTATGGGCAAGGTAACCACTGTGTATACATGGGGAGAGAGAGATTGGGGGGAACATATGCTACAGTCAGAGTCTCGGGGGCATGAAAGTGGATGTCTTTTCTTGGGCATCACCCTCATGATGCTTTGGCCCATTCTATTTAATTACCTTTTTTTTTTTGTCTATTTGACTGTGTTTTGTTTTGTTTTTAATCTAAGCAAATATATGTGTATGTATATATGTATGTATATAAGTATGTGTGCTTGTGTTTAAGTGTGTGTATAAAAACCTCTTCCTAGGTTTTCCCTCCCACAATCTGTCTGTATTGTGACCTGAGCAGGATCACTCAACCAGCGAGTGAATATTTATTAAGCACTTACTATGTGCTGGGCACTGTACTAAGGATGTGAAAGCACTGGGGATACAAAAAGAAGCAAAAGACAGTAGCAACCCTCAAGGAAGTTACAGTCTGATGGGATAAGGAAAGTCATAAACATTTATTAAGGTCCTATGTACCATGTGCCTGGTATCCAGAAGTACTTTACAAATATTATTTCATTTGATCCTCACAACAATCCTGGGAGATAGGTGACATTATTATCCTCATTTTATAGTTGGGGAAACTGAGGCAGAAGAAGGTTAAGTGATTTATTTGGCCAGGATCAAACAAACAATAAGTGTCTAAGGCTGGATTTGAACCCAGGTCTTCCCAACTCCAGGTCTAGTGCTCTGTGCACTATGGTACCATCTAGCTGCCACCTTCCCTTTGTCAAATGCTTTATGGTTCTATAAAAGCACTTTCAGAATCACACTGGGGGCTTACAGTAAACCCATGAAGTAGGTAAGGCATGTATGATTATTTTCATTTTACGTATTAGAAAACTGAGATTCAATAATAATAGCTTGCCAGATTAGGCCTTGAAACTAAGTCTCCTGATTCCCAATCCTTTTAAAGGCCTTCATGATCTGACTCCAACCTACCTTTCAGGTTTCTTATACCTAACTCCCCATGGACATTCCAGCCAGATTTGTCACCTTATTTTTTCCTGCACAAGAGAGTCCCATCTCCTAGCTCTCTGCCTTTATCCCCCATGCCTTGAATGTACTTCCTCATGCCCTCCATCTATTCGAATTTCTTTTTGCTGTTCGTTTGATGAGCCATGTCCAACGAACCACACAGCACACCAGGCCCTTCTGTCCTCCGTTATCTCCCAAAGTCTGTCCAACCTCACGTGCGTTGTTTCTATTGTTTCTGTGACACTATCTATCGGTCTCATTCTCTGCCATCTCTTTTTCCTTTTGCCCTCAATCTTTCCTAACATAGGATCTTTTTTAGGAAGTCCTATCTTCTTGTTGTTGTTGTTGTTTTGGCTAGTCAATGGGGTTAAGTGATTTGCCCAGGGTCACACAGCTAGTAAGTGTCATGTGCTTGGTCTGAGGCCATATTTGAACTCAGGTCCTCCTGAATCCAGGGCCGGTGCTCTATCCACTGTGCCACCCTAGCTGCCCTGGAAGTCCTATCTTCTTATTGTGTGGCCAAAGTATTTAAGCTTTGGCTTCAGTTTGACTTTCCACTATATGGCCGGAATTAATTTCTTTAAGGATTGACTGATTTGATCTCCTTGCTGTTCAAGGGACTCTCAAAAGTCTTCTCCAGCCTCCTTCCACACTCAGCTCAAATGCCCTTTCCAACAGGAAGCCTATGATCCTCCTAAGTTGCTGGTGTCCTTTTAATCTATGTTGTTTTTATTTTTCTGTGTCCATGTTCCTCCCTAATGGAATATAAACTCCTTGAGGACAGGAAGTATTCCACTTTTGTCTTTGTATCTTAATCCTACACACAGTAGGAGGAATTCAATATATATTTTGTCGAATGAATTGTCACAATGCCTTTTAGCACTATTGCTTTCCAAATTAACTGATGCAGTCATTCATGGAAAAGTACAGCTTTTAAAAGGCAAATACATTATCCAAGATAAAAATTAAAGCCAAATAACAAATGCTGGAAAGAAACTCTTTCGTTGAGATTCTCAGCTGTTGTTGCTTAAGACTGGGTTGTTGTTTTTATGTTGTTGTTTTGTTTTGTTTTGTTGGTGGGAGGGAAAGGAGAAACAAAAACTCTACATAAGTAGCTACTTAAGAGCTAAAAATGAATAGTTACTTCATCACAGGAATATTGAAGGTTTGATGGCTGACTCACAGAGGGTTTGGTAGCCCTGTTACTTCTGTACATTGCATGTATCTAAAATCTCCAAACATCTGAGAAAGAGTGTTTTTGTGCTTTCACAGAGACACATATCCTTCTCCCCTTTGGCTTTTGTTCTGACTCTGATCATGTTAATGTCATAAACTCTATCCTTAGATACAGTACAGCACCCCATCCCCATTCGTCCTTCCAATACCTCTAGAATGAGGCTGTGTACCTTCCTCAAGAGACTGTAAACTGGTTGTCCAAGGGTTAACAAGTCTTGATCTAACTTACATTAGACACTAGGTGGTCACAGGTAAATATGTCCAAGACTATCAAGATCCTTGAGGGACCTTGATACTCAACAAGCATTTATTAAGTGCTTACCAAGTGCCAGGCATTGTGCTAAGTGTTGGGAATACAAATACAAGTAGAAAGAAAGACAGCTCCTGCCCACAACAAGCATCCATTTTAACGGAGGAGGCCAACACATAAAAGGAGGAGTTGGGGAGACAGGGAATGGAGGGGTCATGGTAGAGAAAGTCTGGAATGCAGCTTGAAGAATACAGAGGTCATGCACCCCAAACCAAGAATACAAGTTTAGGGTTTGATCTCCATTCTCCTGAGAGACTAATGAGAAAGTCAGTATTCTTGATTGCTACTAAGACTCACTGGGGTCATTAAGTCCTAATCCTTACTTTCTGATCCCTTGTTACTAATTCACTTGCTTTAAATCAGTTCAAATATAAAATTCATAAATTTAGAAAATATTACTGGCACCATGTTTCTTAAACAGTCTCTTCCTCAGGGCCCATACATACAGTAGTTATTTAAAAATTAATGCTTATTGAATGGATGAATGAATGTCCTATAGCTAAGTATAAATGTGGATAAGGTTGTTGAATGATCAGTACAGAAGGTGGGTGGTGTTTTGTTGTTGTTTTTTAAATCAAACCTTGAATAACAAAATTTCCATCCTGCCTAACCCCTCCCCCTCTTTCTGTCTCCAGATTAGTGGAAGTGATGCCGGATGGACTTTGGGTTACATGCTGAACTTGACCAACATGATCCCAGCAGAGCAGCCTTTGTATCCGCCTCTTCCCCATTCGACGTACATCTTCCTCATGGTCCTCTTCTCACTGCTCCTGGCGGCTGTGTTCTTCATCGGCTGGCTTATCTTTCGAAAGCCTTCATGCCTTCAGAAAGGAGCTGTATAGCAAGTCAGTCTGAGTTCTGCTGGGTAGAATATGACAGAAACACTTATAAGGAGGACTTTTCTCCCTCCTGCAACTTCATGCTGCACTCCTTCCTCGGGGTCAGTCTTTACCAGCACAAAGCTTCCCTTGACTTCTGCTGCACAATTTTTCTCAGGAGGGTATCTTGCTATCTGTGTCCCATGCTTCATGGCAAAAATCCAGCATCTCCTTGTCCTTCTTTCTTTTTCACCTTCTTTCTCCTGTGTGTTTTGTGCTTTTGTGGGTCACAAGGATTCTCCATTTTTTCAGAACTTTGCATTCTTTTGGAAGAGAAGAGATGATGAAGCTACAAATCAGCCACAGTTGCCGGGGAAAGGGCAGTGGGGCTACATGGGGAGGCTGGAGTGGCTGGAAATACCTCATCTCAGGAATTGTTTGAGTTCCTTGGGATTCTCCTGCCCCATTTATGAAGAACAGATGGTGCCTCTGTATGGAGCAGAGTCAAATGGGCTCTGTAGGAAAAGTTCTTAGACTAGGCCGATATTGGTTAGGGCCAAAGAGTATCACATGGTCATCTTCTGTGGTAGTTTGACAATGCTTACCTCAGAACCATACTGTGCCATCGCTGAGATGTGAGCTCCTGGGGGCAGCCCCATCTCTGACAGTGCAGAGTTTATTCTGAGAGCTGCTAAACATATAGACATACCAGTCCTAGGGCACATATCATGGCAGGTGTGTGTGTATGTATGTCAGGATTAAAGATATCTTTTCAACTCAGGGTTGGGAGTAGCACATCTTAATGCTGTATCAGGCCTTAGCATGGGGAGAGTCATACTAGCTTTGGATGAAAGTGGAAAAGTCTATGTATCGGTTGTAGAGCAGAGATTCTCAGACTTTTCTGTCTCAGGACTCCTTTACACTCTTAAAAATTATTGAAAACCATGCCCCACCCTACAAAGACTTTTTGTTTGTGTGGGTTAAATCTGCTGATGTTTACCATATTAGAAATCAAAATGTCAGTATTATTATAAATATAGTTCTGACCTCCTAGACTCCCAGACTCCTTGGGGTCCCCAGACCATACTTTAAGAACTGCTGCTACGGAGCAACAGGTCATTAGGTTGTCATGACAATCTGCAGTAAGGTTAATTAACATACTTCAAAAAACAGTGATGTAGCCCTTGCCTTCGGACTTCTTTTCCTTTTGTAGGAGATGCATGTGTTGTTAATTCTGGGTGGGGTGGGGGAAAGGAGGAGGATGAAGAATCCCTGTGCCACCTACCTCCATGAACTGTTATAAGCATTGCCTCATAGGCAAGAATAATGGTGCATGACTTTGACCTTGTTCCAAGATCTCTGACTTCTCCTTCACTGGGCTCTTCATGGAGTAGGTGGCCCTTTTCCCCAAGAACAACAGATCTGCTTTTCAATATGTCCAAAGAGTATGACCTGTGAGGAGGGAAACACCTTCTCTTCTATAGTTATCCCCAGCTGAACCTTCTTGACCTCAAGCAAGAGTCAGACGCCAAATCTGGACATTTTAATCTTCTCTTATGACAAAGCAATTAATCCGTGATGGGAATCCCCCTCATTCCTGTTTGCCTTCTTCCCCAAATCTTGAGCAAAACCTGAGTCCTCTGGATCACTGAGTTCAAGTATGACAAACATACAAACATACACTCCAAGCCTATAAGACAACAGTCCCTTATGTTTATGTCATGCTTTGTTATCATAAAGTACTGCATTATCTTATTTGAGCTCCAGAACCACTTTGTGCAGGTATTATTTGTCCCATTTTACAGATGAAAAACTGAAGCTCAGAGAGTTTAAATGCATCAAGGTCACACAGCTAGCCTGTGGCAAAATTGGGGTTCAAACCCAGGTCTTCTGACTGCAAGTCTAGTGCTCTTCTGCTCTATCTCGCTCATTTTATAGGGGACTATCATGTAGCTGTGACCTTTAAACAGTATATGATGATGACAGCGAGAAAAAAAAATGAGAGGCTAAATAAACACTTCTTAGCATCTCACTTCTAAATCCCTTGACCAACTCAGTGCATTCCAAAGTCAATTTCTGACAACAGTGAGTTTCATCACACTTTTTGGTCACCAAGAAATTCAGGGGACAAGCTACTAGTCTCTACATCTCAGAAAAATGACGGAAAGATTTAGGCCAAGGCTCTGCTCAGCCCAAGTACCTCTCTAGAATCAAGTTAACATACAGGGGTAGGTCAGGGCAGATAGATATTTTGACATCGGACTTCTATCATCACTCGTTACGGATAGTTGCAATTCTTTCTAGAGCCTTAGGTCGAGAGAATGCTCTGGAATTTGGCAATCCCATTCCTTAAGAAAGGGTAGAGGGTGACGATGGGAGGGAGGAGTGAGATGTACTTGTGAGTGGCTTTTTTTTTCCATTATGGACCACAAAAGAAAAATCACAGTGATCTATATACCACCATAAAATCATATAACTAGTGTAGGGTGTTTTTTTTTTCTTCAGAGAAATAGAAAAGAATTCGACTGATATGCTTTTAATATTAAGAACAGAATACACACAGAAATTTATAACAAATAGTAAAAAGTAAATATCATATTGTGGTTTATGAGAAAGCTAGCCTAGGAATGGCAAAGAGGGTTAAGAGACATTCAGGGCAAGAAAAGACAGAGGTAGAGCAATATACCTGGTCAGAGAGAAAGCGTTTCTTCCCCCCCCCCCCATTTCCCCTAGTGGTGGGAGATACTTAAAGTCATAATTTATTTTTGCAACCACAAGTATTGTAATGTAGTTTCCATTGGACGTTTATTGCATTTGAGGTTTGAAGTAGTTTTTAACTAGGATTTTAGGAATTTTTGTTTAATATTCAGGTTTTGCTGCCTTTTAAGTGAGGATAAGTATCAGTTATTTTGTATCAGTACCTGAACAGTCTGGCAACCTCAGGAATATATATACATGTGCATATATACATACATACACACACATATATAGTAATCTTAATTCTGAGATAAGACAAAGAAAACAGATGTTAGTTTTTTAGTAATCAAGACAATTACTTAAATTATAAGTAAAAATTAAACTGATGAACAATTATTCAATTCAGTACTATATATTAAGCATCTGTTATGTTCGACAAGGAGAACTAGGAGAAAGAAAATACACTGTCTTCTTAGAGCAAAATACATAAAATAATGAAATTATAGTCTATTAAATGTCATTCTCAGCTAGCTTAAAGACACAGTTGTTTGCTATATTTAATGAGTTCCAAAAAAATGCTACATTAGAAATCAGCCTCGTCAACCTTTGAACCTCAGCTGTCATTAGTGTTGCAATATGACAGTAACTCATTGTTAGCTGTGAAATTGTTTATGCCAGTTAATGTCCTATTAATAGACCTAATTCAGAAGTATATTCTTTCTAATTAAAGATTTACTTCTCTTGCTTGGGGCTGTTTTCTTCCCTGAAGAGTCTCAGTGCGGACACCCCCTTCAGCTCAGATGGCCTCATATTTTAAACTGACAGAATTCCTTAAAGACTTATCTACCCATTTTCTTTCTCATTTATGCATGTGGTGCCCTGTATAATCCAAAAAACAACATTTCAGACAAAGATACAATAAAATTTAACAAAGCTGGTTTTGTCATAGCCATAACTGTGTTCTAATAGTGGGAGAAATGGTGGCCAAAAGACATTTCATTTTTGCGTATCTATTATAGGCTGGATCCAAGTACCCACACCCTTCCTTGTAAAATCAACATGAAACTCTAAATCAGGTGACATCATTCACTTGACCTTATAGATTTCCTCTGAAACAAGGATGAAAAGGGCTAATTCACTATGGGTTTCCTTGAGTGGTCTCTGATCAACACATAATTTACAGGTGTGCTGGCAGAGGAGTACCATATTTAGAAGTTTTGCAAAAGTCCTTTTATTAAATGAACCTGATGGTAGCTAGATTGGATGTGAACACTAGTATAAACTTTCAGACTGTATGTGTGTGCATGCATGTGTGTGCAGGTGTATATGTACATGCATGCACACATGTGTATGGTCTGGTAGTGTTTAATGGTCCAATAATGGCATTACTGACAGAAGTAAACAAGTTGACTCCAGGCTTTTGTATTATAAAGAGATACCCAGTAACAAAGCATCATCTGAAAAGTGCTTTGATGACATTCTTTACATCTTTGAATGAAGCCCTCTGAGAAGCTACGGCACCCCTCTTCCCTCCTATGACTTGAAATGAGGGAAAAGAAAGAGAAAAGGGGAGTGGAGAGGAAGGTAGGGAAGGGAAGAATCTGTACAGATAGGCAGGGACAGAGTGTACTGGGAACTATGCAGATGCTTAACTATTCAGGAAGTCTTATTGGAAAAAAGAGTCATACTAAGAGAATTGTATGTAAGAAAATTGTCTAAAAATGCAGCCTCTCACCAGGGGAACCCTTGGTTATTCACTTGTTCCAAAAATGCACTGAAACTTTATGGGACAGAAAAGCCATTTTAGAAGTGTCATAGCCTCCCTCTCTGCCCCCTCCAAAGGTCACTAGGTCAATCTTTTCAAACATCATTTCCCTTTTTTACTATACTTATATATGAAACTATAGTGATTCCCTGTTGCATCAAACATAAACTCTCAGTGGTATTCAAGGCTCTCAAGAGTAGTTTACTCGATTCCTTTTTTGCATCATCCATTATAGATCATAAGGTGCTTGACACATAGTAGGAGCTTAATAAATGTCTTTGAATGAATGAATACTCTCTTCAGCAGCTGACATCTGAAAAGTGTTCCTAGTCTTTGCTTAGGAGACAGAGTTTAACAGCAAGTACAACACACAACATCCAATTATCCATCGATTGATGGAAGTGCTTAAGGAAGAGGATAGAGGGACCATTGGAGCACATCAAAATACAAGCATAATTGTGTGAACTATACAATGACTTCTATTTGAAAATAATGAGGAGAAACATTAGTCCCTTCAATGTGGAGAAGATATTGTAAGTTATTTTAATATAAAATGTAATCATGTAATCATGACATTGTACATCACTAAAAGTGGTAAATAACATGAGACCTGAATTGAATGAATGAACTCCACAGCACGTGAACAGTGATGCCCAGTTAGGTAATTTAGTCTTTAATTTCACAGATTAGATTGAATTTTGGAGATGAAATTATTCAGTCTAACTCCCTTCTTTTATAGGTGAGAAAATTTAGACCATGATTGTAAAACGGCTTGACCTAAACCACTCATCTACTTGGTATACACAGTGGGAGCTATAATCAATGTCTCCTAACTCCTGAGGCTTTTTTTTTAGGTGAGTGAGATAGGGAAATATAATCCACCTTCAGTGCTTTTCCTACAAAAATACAGTTCCATATTAAGAAGTAAGAATTTTTTTCTATTTTCCTTTTGAACACTGGAATGCATAGTATTCCAGTTTTATTAAAAACTGATAAAAACATAAATACCTAAGTACAAAATATCTATCCTTGCTTCTAGTTAACTGTGAGTTTTGGGGGTTTTTTCCCCTGCCTCTAGGCTTCACCAGCACCTTTTGAAGCCTTCTATTCTAACTTGTTTCTAGCTGCTATTCAGGAAGTAATTAATTATCTCTTTAACACCCCCTATACGAACACTAATTGCTCAATTTTCCTTCTGCCAAAGTACACTTTGCCTGCTCTTCAGGATATTTAGCTCCTTTGTGCTCTGTCTTTGCCACATATTTCCAAACTGTTATTTAAAAAGAATATAAACTTCCCTATATTCCATACTCCCTCCATCCAGGTAAATTGCTCTTCCATTTAATAATATGGCTTCTAATAATAGTATTAATGCTACTAACACTGTTAACAATGACATAAATGGTAACTGACTTTTCTGTACCACTATAAAATCTGCAAATAATTTATACATACACCTTTCTCTTCTGACAAGGTTAGAGCCACCCAGGAAAACATCATATATGAAACCAGGTTACACATGTTTCCTCACAAGGAATGAATTTGTAATGAGAAAGGTTTTGCAAGAAGTCAAGACTATGACACTAGCTTCCTGATGATGGGACATGGACACTCTAATGACTTGCGGGCACCCCAGTTGTGTGTTGCTGTACTGGGTTTTGTCTCGATCCGTTGCTTTGCTTTCTGTTCCCAATTCAAGGCAATGACTCAATCCTATTATGTCACTTGATCTACTGTTACAACATCTAGAATTGTTCTCATCATCTTTGTGTTTTGCTGCACTTGTTGTATTAAAGCAAAACACAGAAAACTCCATATTTTGGACCAACTACTCCTGAGTAACAGGTACAAAATTGAGATGCTAGAATTACTGGTCAGTCAATAAACATTTATTAAGCACCTACTACATGCCAGGCACTACACTAAGCTGGAGGAACAAACAAAAAAATGCAAATGGTCGTTCCTGACCTCAAGGTACAATCTAATGTGGAAGACAACAAGCAAACAAATTTCAACAAACCAGCCATATCCAGAATAAATAGGAAGTAAGAGAGCGAAAGTAATAGAATTAAGAAGGGTTGGGAAAGGCTTCCTGTAGAAGATGGGATTTAAGCTGAAGCTTGAAGAAAACCAGGAGGTGGAAATGAGGAGGGAGAACGTTTTAGGATGCAGGCATTTTGTGTACCAATAAGCATATGCATTTGATAGAAGAAATAAAGAGAATTAGCAAAGGGTGCATATTTTTAAAAACCTTCATTTTTAGCAAGATCTAATATACTAAGAAACAATATTTTCTCTAGGCTAAAACTTTTTTCCAGGCTTTTCTTCCCTTTAGGAAAGTGGATGAAACAAAAATTAAGGCCTTTTTTAGGAAAATGGATTAAGGGTAATAGTCAAACCTAACTCTTCTCTAGATGTGATCATTATCTCTTCACCTACCCAAAGTGCTTGGTCACCATGATTCACTTAAGGGTAGTATTCTTTTTTTTTTTCATTCAAAATTAAGATATTGATCCTAGGTCAGTTTGGCATGATTATATCCATCTTACAGATAAGGAAACAAATTGAGAGAAGTTAAGTGACTTTGGCAAACTCACACAGTGATGGTACCAAGATTACAGGTTCATAGGTTTTAGGGTTATAAATTACAAGCTGAAAGGGACCTTAGCAATCATGTAGTCATGTAGTAACAACTCTGCCATTTTGTGGATGAAGGAAATGAGCTCTAAAGACACTTGCTGAGTTATAGCCTTAGAAGAGAGCAAGATGCAAAACTTAGGTTCTGTGACACCAATTCCAGGGTTTTTTCATACCAATCTACTAATGCAACAGTGGATACCACCCTATCTTTCTCTCTGTTTACCTTCCTTATTTCTGGTTCATTCCCCCTATTTCTTTCCATGCTTTGTTTTTCTGGTGGCCACATCCAGGTTTCAAAACTACCATATTTCAGACTCTCTACGTGGGAATGAATGACATCTTGATAACCTGGCTAACACAGTGCCACGAATGTCTTAGTTTTGTCTTTATTATCTGATCAGTGGGAAAACAGCAGTTCCAAGTCCACATTCCTCTAAAAGAAAGGGCAGCTGGGGTAGAGAACTAAACAGGTGGACTTCGGCATAAAAGCAATGCCACACAAGATCAAAATATTATTGCTTCCAGAAGTGCAGGACATCAGAACTGGAAGAGACCTTAGAAATCATGGAGTCCAAGCCCCTCAGGAAACAGAGGCAGCCAGGTGGTATGATTGAGAGCTGAGCCTGGGCAAATCACTTAACTTCTGTCTGCCTCAGTGTCCTCAACTGTAAAATGAGAATCCTCCCAGGATTGGTTATGAGGATCAGATAATATTTGTAAAACACTTAGCATGGTGCCTGGCACATAGGAGATGCTTAATAAATGCTTCCCCCCCCCCCATCTATTACCTGAAGCTTGGAAGGGTAAAGTGGGTAAGTGGCAGTCATGACAAAAATTCAAGTCCCCAAACATCTAGTTCATTGATCTTTCCAGTATACTACACTTGGAGCCAATGATAAACAAAAATTCTAACATAGAAATAATTCCCTAAAATTCAACTATGTCAGTAGTTAACTACATCCCATTTTGTTTCTGTTTGGTTCACTCTCATCTTTGGCTCTTAATAATTCCTAGGCCAAGGATCTAAATGGAGACTGGAGCCACAAACTGTGGCTTCAAAAGTCCACCAATTGAATAGAATCACCAAAACTACAGAATCTCAAAGTTGGAAGGGATCATGTAGTTCAATCTATACCTGAACAGGAATCCCCTGTAACAAGTGAGACCATCCATCATCCTCTGCTTGAAGAACCTCAGTGATGAGGACCTCCTGATAAATCCCTTTCTACTGTGAGGGAGAGGGGCAGGAGAAAGAACTGAAATCCACATCTTTGTCACTTCCATTTACTGCTTTGAGTTCTGCCTTCTGGACCCAAGAAAAACAAATATAATTGTTTTTTCCCATACTGTGTCATGTGTAATTTTTTTCTTCTAGACATCTGTTAAATATTTGTCAGCATATTCCTGCTCTGAGGTCATTAGCTCAGGAAATTTGGTGGATGGTAATGCCCTTGGAAGGAGCAGGGAAATTTCAGGGGTGGGTGGGTTCTGGGAGAAACATGATAAATTGAGTTTGAGATGCGTCAAACATAAGACAAGAAGT